TAAAATGCCTCCTTTCCTTCCCTCTAAATGTTCACTAAAGGATGTTTTCTATAAAAATGCTTGTTATTAATTTCGTACCTTTTTGTAAAATCCTGTGAAAAGTGGTCAGTAATTATATGATTCGGAAAATGTATTGGCAAACAGCTTTGTAAACTCTCAGAAAGTAACTTGAGTTTTGAAGAATAGTGTCTTGAATATAAGTCAGTCTACTAGAATCCATCCAATTCTAACGGTGTAGACAATAGATACACCAGGAGATCCCTCAGTTTGCTTCAGTCTAATACATGATGTGCTTGCATGTAGCAAAAGCATGAATGATGGTTGGTAGATTGGGGGCCTAGGTTTCTCTCTGGTTTTGGTTTTTGGTTTTTCATTCTTTAGCATGTTATTAAAAATCCCGTATATGGAAACAAGGTGCATTTCCCCCCATCTCTTATGATTGTGTCACATCTGTTCTTTTCCTCAAAAGTTACACCTTTCATAATCAAAAGGCATGTCTTTAAAATGCCTCCTTTCCTTCCCTCTAAATGTTCACTAAAGGATGTTTTCTATAAAAATGCTTGTTACTAATTTCCAAAGTCATTTTCCTATGGTGCTTGAATACAAGTAATGAGCAAAACTATTGAGTAGGGAGCCTTTTTTTTGCAGACAGGGTGGGAACTGGCTTTGAACTTGCTTTGAAGCTCAGACTATCTTTGAATGTGAGGTCCTTCTGCCTTGGCCTCCCTAATACTAGAACTGCAGGCCTGTGCCACAAAGCCAGGCAGTAATGAGCTTTTGAAAGGAAAATTCCAATGTCTGTTCAGTCTTTAGGGACAGATAGAAATAACTGTAAATGATTACTTTTATGTCTGTCCTAGAAGCATGGTGCTTGTAATCTGATATTTGTGTTTATTCATTACGGTAAAAAGTTTTGGCTCCTGAATATTAAGCTGTTGTTAGAGTGTTATTCTCCTTTTATATGTTTACATATGAAACCTTTTTTTCCCCCCTAAAACTAGCTTGACAAAAGTAAGCTCAAGCCAGGAACAAGAGTTGCTTTGGATATGACTACACTAACTATCATGCGGTGAGTTTCTTTTTACTTTCACAGAGGAAAGATTGGATTCAAAGTATATGCTTCTTGGGGATATAGCTCAGTGGCACAGTGTCTGCTGGTAAGCACAAGGTCCTGGTTCAATTCCTGGTATCAAAAACACAAAGTATATGCTTCTTGAAATCATCGAATATTTGACCCTTATAACCTTTCACTACTTTTTGAAAATAATGCATTATCACAAATTTACCTGATGTTTCTATTTTCTCATAAGTTAATATTTTTGCTTGGTATTTTGACACAAGGTCTCACTTTGTAGCCCAGGCCGTCATTGAACTCAGTATGGAGGCCAACTCATGCCGGTCTCAAATTCATAACAATTCTCCTGCTTCAGCCTTCTGAGAGTTGGGATCACAGGCGTGCACCACCACACTCAGGCTCCTTTCACTAATATTTAATTCAACATCCTTCACAAAGGGGTGCTGGTGTAGGCATTTATATTGTATCTATAAGCAGAGACTTTTGAGTTTTTGAATATGACTTTTGCAACAGAATACATGCCTTTTCGTTCTAGATACTTGCCGAGAGAAGTGGACCCGTTGGTTTATAACATGTCTCATGAGGACCCTGGGAATGTGTCTTATTCTGAGATCGGAGGGCTGTCAGAGCAGATTCGAGAACTAAGAGAGGTCAGTACCGTACGCTCTGATCACTCTTGCAACAACTGGGCCTGGTTTCAAGGTGCTTGAAGGGATTGGCAGGATGGAAAGTACTTTTTTCCATACAGTTACTAAATACAGTATAGGCATATAATATTCATGCTGAGAGATGAATAGCACTGAAGTTTGAGCTATGAAAATTACTGGTGTTATTTTGGTGATAATTTGATGTTGGAGAAAATCTTTGTTGGGGGAAGCTAAGAGTAATTGCTGTGATCTGATGTTGCCATCTGTGGTTTAGATTGTCTATTGTAGTGACTTGGGGTGGAGCACGTTTCAGTGTTATGTTGTTTTTGTCAGAAACTCATTAATATTAGCTTCTCTTACAATAGACTCTGCTTTAAGTATTTTATTTTCTTAAAGCTGTTTGCTGCCACTTACAAAAATATCCACTGTAGGGGTGGCTTAAATCTGAGTGCTTGAGTGGAGAATCAAACTAGAGTTACTCTGCATTATGGCACAGATGACTTCTTGACAATTATCTGTAAACCAAATACATTGTCCTAGGGCTGGTGAGATAGCTCAGTAGACTAAGCACTGCTTAGGCAAGTGCAGGGAATGGAGTTCAATCCCCAGTCCTGCATGCCACGCTGGCCCTGCACCCGGGGCACGCTGAGCCTGCGAATGAATCCAGGCATGCTGGCGCATGCCTGTAATCCACGCTCTAGGGAGGCTGAAAACAGGAGGATCACCATGAGTCCAAGCTGGGTAGTGAGACCCTGTACTAAATACATTAAAAAATCCCCCCAAATCAAATTACATTGTCCTGTTGGTTGTATCCTAACATCAGGTGGAAATATTTAGGAATTCGTGAGATTAGTTAGATTATAGGCTAAATATGTGGCTCAGTAGTAGAATGCTTGCCTCATATGAATGGAACCCTGGGTTTGATCACTAGCACTACTAAAAATAATTACATTTTTTAAAAATGCTGAACATAGTGGCACACACTTGTAACTCCAGCACTCAGAACCTGCGGCAGGAGGATTGCCATAGGTTCAAGCCCAGCTTGGGCTACGTAGTGATTGCAGGTCAGCGTGAAGTACAAAGCAAGACCCGGTCTAAAAACACAAAACATAAAGGAAAAGACCCCCGCATTTATATGGCTGTCTGAGTGAAGAAGTTGTGATGAGGTAGATGGGGGTAGGGCATAGGAATTGTCATTTAAGTAAGTATTCCAGGTATTATGAGTCCAAAATATTCTTTGCCCATACCCAAGGAAACATTTATTTACCTAACTGTAAAGAAAAGCCTATTCTCACTTCAAGCTAAGTGAAAGGGCAACCCACCGAAGGTCCAGTGTTGCATGAATCTGTGGACTCTTGCCTTCTGCCGTGACGTGAGGCATCACTCCTTCAGCACAGCAGGAATCCCACGTGTAGACTTCCCAGCGGCAGACCCTGTACTGATTTGTCACACTTTGTCTTGTCCTATTCACATATTACAGGCACAGCTGTGTTATAGGTGTTCTTTTACCTTATGGATACTGGGAATCATTTTGATTGTCAAATCTTCAGTTTATTCTCCATTTTTCTTTGTATTAATCAGTTTTGAGAGGACCCTGAGGAGAGCATGTTGTTCTGAGTAAAGGGGCTGTGGCACAACCAGTAGAACTTCCGTGTGCCTCTCTGCTTACCGGTGGGCACTACTGACTAAATCCGTTCCCGATGTTATGGTTGTCTTTATTCCCACATGAAAACTAGTGGCACCCTGGGGATGTTTCTTAATGAGACTGGAGGGCTGTCCCTTCACTTTTTCCTTCACTGATTTTTGTACTGTGGTTTTTTTCATTGAGGTATAATTTATATTCAATCAATGCATTGACTTTAAGTGTACATTTTAAATATGTTTTGACATATAAGCCTGTATAATCTAGCATGTGGTTATTAAAGTAAGCATTATTTGTAGTTTTTAGATTTAAGAACCCATAAATCTGCTTGAAGGAAAACCTAATACAAATGTTCTTTATATAGTATGGGAGTGTAGATCTCTTATGATTTATGTGGATGTCTATGTTGTTATTAGACTGAAAATATTTACACATATATTACAATCTTTACTAACTTTAAGAAGCATGCAACTTCTTTTCTAGGTAATAGAATTACCTCTCACAAACCCAGAATTATTCCAGCGTGTGGGAATTATACCTCCAAAAGGCTGTTTGTTATATGGACCGCCAGGTTGGTATTTGTATCCCACTAATAAAAGGATTTTGAGGAATTTGATGTGAGCAATTCCAAACTGCACTTCCTTCATAGTGAGAGTGGGTTAAGGTATGTGTGGCTACTATTTGCTCAGGCACCCTTCGTGCATTTGGTCTCCCACTGGGTGCATCATTATGGGCCATGGGCTTGTAGTGCAATATTTCCAAAATGCAATTCACACGTAGATGTCTCTGAGATCTTTTCCTGGGACTTGCAGGTTCCAAATTGATTTCTGACGCTAAGATATTATTTGGCTCCATCACCATGTTGACATCTTGCTGATGGTGCAAAAGTAATGTAGTTAAATTTGCTTGGGCACCATAGCATGATTCACTTGTCAGAACGTCGTGAAGTACTAGTCATGTTTCTGAGGTCACAAATATCCTCACACGTATTTTTGCAAAGCAGTGGAAATTTTTTAAATGTTCATTCTTTTTTTTTTTTTTTGTTCATTCTTAAATTATGTCATTATGTGTTGAAATGAAAAAAATATGTAAAGCTGTGCTGTGTATTGAAAAGGCTAATTGTCTTTAAGAGAAGCACTTGTACAATTAGTTGAGTTGCCACCTGAGTCAGGTGATTTCCTAGGACTACCATTTTTACTGGAAGGAGCAGTTTACAGTGTGGGGTCATTCTCACTGGCTTGCTGACTATCAGAGACTGGTTATTCATTGTCTGGCACACTTTTCCCAAAATGATCAGAGTGAGCTTGTCATGTTAAAGAGCTGGAGGGATAGCTCAGTGGTAGAGGGCTTACAGGCCTGCATAAGGTTTGATCCCCAGCCCTACAGAAAGGAAAGTAGGGTGGGGACAAAGAAAGGAGCAGGAGAAAACAGCTGATAACCATCTGTTGCTAGTGGCGAGATTTGAGCATTCAAGTGAAATTTGAATTTAAAAAATTTGTCTGGTACTATAAGTTTGACAGTTCTCTAATATGTTAATTCTTAAAGACATTTCTAATCATGTGGGCAGTTTTGAATACTGTTTTGTTTTTGTTTTTGTACCGGGGACCCAACTCAGGACCTTGCACTTGACAGGCAGGCACTTACGCACTGAGCTATCTCCCTGGCTCTGTGGGAAGCTTTTTTTTTCCCCCTCTTTTTTTCTTGGGGGGGCAATTTTAATTGTGTTTTTTAATATTTTATAATGAAAAATTCAGCATTTAGAATATTTTTGTAATTCACTAAACCAATGCTTAACATTAAAAGTAGGTATAGATTAAAAATCCATTCAACATGCAGGATAAACCAATGTATTTTAATTTATCCGAAATTTTTTATCATAGTCCATATTATAAGTGGGATTTGATGTTTTTATAAAGTTCTGTGTAGGACTGGCTGTTTTCAAGAAGATGAATGATAATAGTTATTGGCAAGGACGTGGAATAAAGGAAACCCTGGTATACTTTTGGTAGCAGTGTAAATTTGTGCAGGTTCCTCAGGAAAATAAAATGGGTTTTAGCATGTGGTTTAGCAGCCTTCTGGGTATGTATCTGAAGGAATTGAAATCAGTGTGTTGAGCTGTGTGCACTCCCATGTTCACTGCAGCCCTCTTCACAATAGCAAGATAAGGAAACAACCTATATACTCACTGGCTGATGAATGGATAAAGAAAATATTACATATATGTAAGGGTATACTCTTTAGTCTTAAAAGAGAAGGCAAATCTGGTTTTTTTGTGACGAATGAATCTAGAGACTACTAAATGAAATAAACTAGGAAAAAAGCCAAGAAAGATAGAAAACCCTCCATGATCTCACTTGTGGAATTTTTAAGTTGAACTCATACAAGATACAAGCAGAGAGTAGAATGGTGACCAGAGGCTAGGGGGAGATTTGGCAGGGGGCAGGTAGCAGGGTTAGAAAATGTTACATAAAGGGTGCCACGTTCAGTTAGACAGGACAAATGAGTTCTAGCAATCTGTTGGCCAATATGGGGGTTACGGCAGTTAGTAATGTGAGGAGTTTCTGTGGACTTCTCTTTTTTCTTTTTGGGGGGGGATTCAACCCAGGGCCTTGTACATGATAGGCAAGTGCTCGCCACTTTTTAAAAAATAACAGTGATACTTTAAGATGGCTGAGTCAGTTTAAATGTTCTTAACACAAAGTAATGATAAATAGGAGGTGATTTCACCACTCCACAATATATACATGAATCAGTGTGGCATTTTAAATATGCACAATTATTTGTAAGACAGACACTATAAAATTTTAAAAATTAATATGAAGAATAGAAATACATTGGAATTTTAAGTGAAAATACTGTTTAAGGTTTAGCTTTAATTTTGGATGATGTACCATTCGAAGGATTATATTCTTAAAAGGCTTTTAAAAATTTTTAGTTTCGGGACTGGGGAGATGGCTCAGTGGAATAAGCGCTTCCCTAGCAAGCATGAGGGTCTGAATTCAATCCCCAGTTCCGTAAAAAAAAAAAAATTAGTTGCCATCTAATCAGGACTTCCATCATTCCTAGGCACAGGAAAAACACTCTTGGCACGAGCTGTTGCTAGCCAGCTGGACTGCAATTTCTTAAAGGTAGAGAAAAGATTCTTCTGTAGTTTTTGAAATTCAAGTTTATTTGAAATGCCTTAAACTTATTGTTATGTTTTTCCTTTATTTAGGTTGTTTCTAGTTCTATTGTAGACAAGTACATTGGTGAAAGTGCTCGTTTGATTAGAGAAATGTTTAATTATGCAAGAGACCATCAGCCATGTATCATTTTTATGGATGAAATCGATGCTATTGGTAAGAATGACACCTTTTAAAATTCATTTTACATTTTTGCGTTAGAGGAAACTTTTAAAACTCAGGATAGCCTCCCTAACCTGTAATTGTGACATATACAATACAGGCATACCCAAAGAATTGGCTGATACCTTCAGAAATTTGAGAGTTTAACCAATTTTAATAAATAGGCTTTGAGGTTGACAAAATAAAAAAATATTTATATCAAATTAATTTCACTTTGTTAGTACAACTTTTACCCAGCTTTTACCCTAGACACTTCCTGTTTTATTTCTTAAATGGCGCTTATTCTGCTGAGCCATCTCCCCGGCCCCTTATTTCTTAAATGGTGGATATGGAGGAAATAATAAAATAGCAATTTTATTTATTATTTTAGGTGGTCGTCGGTTTTCTGAGGGCACTTCAGCTGACAGAGAAATTCAGAGAACTTTAATGGAGGTAATGTGTGGTAAAGAACCCATTGTTTATTAAATGAACATTTATTTTATTTTTAAATTTGTGTGTGGGGGGGCAGCTCAGCCCTCCAGGGGGCGGGGCTGGCTGGCATGTGCTGCTGGGGGATTGAACCGCGGTCCCTATGCTTTGCTAAGCTTGTTCTAAGTAGGTGCTTTAGACCACTGAGCCATCTCACCAGCCCCTTAAATGAACATTTAGAGAGGCAAAATACATCCAACAATTTAAGCAATGTGGTATTTGAAACTCTTGGCAGAGAAGAACACATTTGGTATCAGAATAAGAAAATGACTAGTACAGGGCACAGGAAGGAATAGGAGAGCTTGGTCAGTGGTTACGAAGTCACAGGTAGGCAGGAACAGGAAGTTCTGTGGCGCTGTGATTGCACGGCAGATGGCCGTAGGTTCGAATTATACAATGTTTATTTCCAAAAGCTAGAAGCAGTGATTCTGAATAGTTTCTCCATAAAGATAGGGTAAGTGTTTGAGAAGATTGGTATGTTTAGCTTAACTTAAATGTTATATAATCTCAATAGTAGGGACGACAATTTTTATGTTTTTATTTATCAAGTAGAAAAATAGGAAATGGCTACTGGAAAAGGTTATTTTATATCTGTACTATTCTGTCTTCTGAGTAAGTAGTCATTTAGGTATTTCAGTTATACAGTAAACTTCTTTGCAAGTGTTATCTTGTGCTGATTAATTATAAAGGTAATGGACATGCTAAGATGACTGGCAATCAATTGGTCAAAAATTGTTGGAGTTGGGGCTAAAAATCATTCTTTCTTGCTCTGTTGCTGAGACTAAGAAGCAGTTAAAAGAGTTTTAATAATTGAAAAGGATACAAGATCAAGTGGAAGAATGTGTATGTAAAGCCTTTCCCACATTTCTTTCTCCCATTCCAAGTTCTGTGAAAATGATGGCAAGACTCCAAATACATTTTATCACTTCCACTAATAGAAACTAGGTAGCCTGGTAATGCAATGTTAAGTTAAATTACATTATACATTCTCTGAAAAATTTAAGTTGAGGTATTTTAGATTATAAATATTAATCCATCCTCCACCCCACCCCCAGGAACTGATAAATGTTAGCTATGTTGTAAAGCATTTGTTAAATGCAAAGTTTTTAACATTCATTGGAGAAAACATCAGAAATCCAAAGAAATATTTATGATAGCTCAGTATTTTTGTGTGCAATGCAATTACTTGATTGAACATTTCTGTGTATTATGGAATCATTTGAAGAGATTTATTTTCAAATTTGTAGTAAAATCTTTGTACCCACATACCTATTTTTTTTCTGGTACTATGGGTTGAATCTAGGGCATTCACACTGAGCTACACCCCAGCCCCTTTTTTATTTTGAGACATGCTCCCACTGAGTTATTAAATTGACCAGGTGAGACTCAAGTTTGTCATCGTCCTGAGCCTCCCAGAGGTTGGGGATGGACCTCAGGGTGAAGACATTGGGTTTATTCTAAATATTTGGGAGAAAAAGCTGGTGAAATAGCTCAGTGGATTAAGCGCCTGCTTTGGCAAGCACAAAGACCAGGGTTCAACCCCTGGTCCCGCATGCCATGGGCATGGTGGCATATGCCTGTTATCCCAGCGCTGGAGCGGCTGAAAATGGGAGGATCACCCTGAGTCCAATCTGTGTAGTGAGACCCTGTACCAAATAAATAAAGGAAAAAGAGAGATGTTGATACTGGAAATCAGGTCCACATAGTTTAGTTTCATAACTCTTGACTAGCTGGAAGGAAGCTTAAAGGCATACTGTCTTGGGACATTGAGGATCCCAGCATATCCTAAAAAAAAGAAACAGAATATCATCAAATGATCATTCTGGAGGTCACATACTTGCAGGCAGCATCCTTGCTTGTATTAGACATATAAAAAGTGTATGTTTAAGTGGCTAATGTTTTCTAAAATTTGTGATTTTTAATAATCTTAGTTACTGAATCAGATGGATGGATTTGATACTCTGCATAGAGTTAAAATGATCATGGCTACAAACAGACCAGATACACTGGATCCTGCACTGCTGCGTCCAGGGAGATTAGATAGAAAAATACGTGAGTTAAACTTCTTTACCTGCTATCCATGTTACATTGTCTATTTCTCTTTTTATGCTGTCCTTTAGTTCTACTTTATTTAAAACAACAAACTACTAAATAATTCCTTGTAATTTCTTACTTTCAGATATTGATTTACCAAATGAGCAAGCAAGATTAGATATACTGAAAATCCATGCAGGTCCCATTACGAAGCATGGTGAAATAGGTAAGAAAGTAACCAATTTTGTGTGTATTTACATTTTGATAAATAAAATTACTATTAGATATTGATAGACTACCAATTTATTGAGCATGTACTGTATCCTAGGAATTGTAAGTGCTGGGGAAATAGTAATGAGTGAAGCAATTTCCTGCCCTATGAATTTTCATGCTTGTCAGGAAAGATAGATAAAAAAATAAGTAAAATATACAGCATATATCATGATGATTAAATGGTATAGAGAAAAAAAACAAGAGAAAGGGATAGGAAATACCAAGAATAAGCATGAGCATGTACACTTCTGGTGGAGGGGTGTGGAAGCCAGGAATGTTCTTACCAGGAAGGTGATTTTTAAGCAGTGGCTTGAAGCAGAAGGAATTAGACACGCATACTGGGGAAGACCCTTTCATGGAAAAGAGCAGCAGGTTGGAAGGCCCTGAAGTGTGCGAGTGCCTGGAGCCCTCCAGAGGCCGGCGCCTAGTGGATGAGCATGTGGAACAGTGCTGCAGTTGAAGTCTTGGAGGCCCGGCACCTTGGGAGGTCTTGGTGTGAGAGCTTTGGCTTGTCCTTTTTTTTTTTTTTTCCTTTTTAATTTTCTTTTTGGGTTTTAGTAATACAGATGCCACTAGAGGACTATGAGCAGAGAAAAAGATATGATTGCTTTTTATTTTTAACTTTTTATTATAGAAACAAAAATAGAGATAGAGATATAGTGAACTTCTATCTGGGACTATTTATTTATTTTGGTACTGGGGACTGAACTCGGGACCTTGCACTTGTCAAAGATTGTATCCGGCCAGACACGGTAGTACACACCTGTGATACTAGCTTTTTAAGAGGCTAAGGGAAGAAGATTGCGAGTTCAAGGCCAGCCTGGACTACTTAGCGAGGCCCTGTCTCAAAAAATAGAAATGGCTGGGGTCAGGGGTATAGCTCAGTGAAAGAGAGTTTGCCTGCCATGCATGAGACACTGGGTTCAATCCCTAGAGCCACCAAAAGAAAAACAAGCTTGTCCAGTTGGACTGCTATATTTAAAAAGTCTCGTATTAAGTTTTCTTTCCTTGTAATTATCATTATGATACATGTTTAAATTAACTTATGAGGTAGATTTTTTCCTATCTTTTGAATTTAGTTTTATTTTTGATGCATACATTTTGAAAAAAGCAAATCCCAGGCATATCACTTGATCTATGAATATTTCAGGGCCCATTAAAGATTATTTTGACAGCTTGTTGAGGGTAGACTAGAGGGACGAGTATAGCAGCAGGGGACTCAGGTGAGTGTTTCAATAATAAGGGTCAAAGGTGGTTATATAATTGTTTTACCCCTAATTTTGCTGACTTATAAAATGATGAGATTGGATATATTTTGAAAGGAAAGACGACAGGTAAGACCAACAAATTGAATATGAGGTCATGGGCTGAATAGAAGAACCATAAAAACCTTAAGTTTTTGACATAAATAGCAGAAAAAATGATGTTGCCATAAATTAAAATTGAAAAGACTGGGCTGGGTTATATCTCAGTGATAGAGCACTTGCTTAGCATCTACAAGGCCGCAGGTTTAATCCCCAGCTCTGCAAAGGAGATTTTTTTTTTGGAGGCCAGAAGATACCTTAGGGCATTTCTGGTTTGCTGTGAGTGTCTGGGTTCGAACCACTGCCGCTTGAGCTTGAGTGGTTTGTTTAAGCAGGCACTTAACAACTGAGCTAATGGGCAGGCCCCCTCCAGCACTGCAAAGGAATAAAATTAAATTGAAAAGGTTGTTAAGTATAGGTTTTAGTAAAATAAATTCAGTTCTGAATGCATTAAGTTTGAAATGCCAGTTAGATCTCCAAATAAAGTTATTGAGCAGTAATTCTATAAGCATCTGAGTTCATTGAAATGGTATGTGCTACAGATATTAATGGACGATTTGGGCCTAAAAATGGTTTTCAAAGTCTTGCAGTTAGATATTTCCAGAGAGGTGGCTGTGGATAGAGGACAAAGCATCGAAGACTGAATTAAGATTGCTATAACCTCAAGAAGTTAAGATGAGGGCCAGATAGCTCAGTGGACAAATGCCTGCTTAGGCAGAGTGTAGTGGCAGGGGTTTGATCCCCAGAATGCAGTGCTGTGTGCCGGCCCTGCTCCAGGGACATACTGAGACTTGAGACTGGGCGTGGTGGCGCATGCCTGTAATCCCAGCTCTTGTGAAGCTGAAAACAGGAGAATCACTACAAATCCTATATACGTAGTGAGGCCCTATAGATCTGTACTAAATACATTCTTTAAAAAAAGTTGAGATGAAGTCCAGGCATACACCTATAATCCCAGTGCTCAGAAGGCTGAAGCAGGAGGAATACTATAAGTTCATTGCCCACCTGGCACCATAGTGAGTTCAAGGCCAGCCTGAACTACACAGCAAGACAAAAGACCCTGTCTCAAAAAAAAAAAAAAGATGAAGAAACCTGGTAGGAGTCAGAGGGCATGGGTGCAGAGTAGGAATGAAGCCAGGAGTTCTGGAAGGCAAATACAAGTTTTTCAAGGAGGGACTGGTCCCCTAAAGTACTGTATTATGCCAGATAAAAGAGCTCTGAGAGTAGACCTTTGGCTTTCAGTCTGGAGGCCTTCGGTGACCTTGCCGAAATAATTTCATTAGAGTGATGGAAATGAAAGCCTATTAAATCCCCATTCCACAGAAGTGGGGAGAGAGGCATTGTATTTAGACATTTCTTTTAATGAGTTGTGCTGAGGAGATGGGAGGCGACAGTAGCTGGAAGAGAAATAGAGCTTTTTCTTTAGTTTTTCCTTCTTTTAATGCTTCTTGGAATGACTTAAGAAAGAAACTGGTAGTGCCCTTTGCTTGAGGAGGACTTGTCCCTGTCTGAACTTCTCATTTATGAGGGAAGGAGCAGAGGCAGAGTATGCAGGTGCTGATGTAGGCAGGTGCTCTGCTGTGGTACTGTCTGTCCCTTGGGAACATTGTCTTCTGAATGCTTCTGTTTTTCCAGATAAATGGAATGCAGATTCAGAGTAAAGAGGAGGAAAGGTTAGATATTTGAGGCTAGAGAAGAAGTTGCAGATAGTGAGGGACTGGAGTAGCACTGAAGCCAACGAGCTGGCATGAAGTTTTGTAGTACAGCCAATGCCATTTGTTTACATATTGTTTATGGTTGCTTTTCCACTACCACAGCAGAGTGGGGTAGCTTTGACAGTGCAAAGCATTAAATATTTATTCTTTGCCCCACTACAGAAGAAATGTGCTGACTTGTATACCAGGGGGATCTGGTATAATTGACAAAGCAGTGTTAAAAATCTTTTGTATGTTAATGGTCAAGAATGATTATAAATAGCTAATTGTTGTTTCTCATCTTCTTGTCCTATGATAGACTGATTTGAACAAAAGATATCAAATAATAGGTTTCTGCCACAAATACTAAACTCTTAGTACATACCAAATATTGTACTATTCTTAGCAATCCTTGCTTTCAAAAAGCCCACAGTGAATTTGAACCTTATTAAACACTGATTAATGAATATCTGTATATTTTCAAATAGAGATTGGCCTCCCCTTTATGGTCTGACAGTGTCTTGTCAGAGTTAATCACAAGGTAGTAAGTAGCTCATGCTGTCCAATTTCTCTTTCTTTTTTGTATCAAATCTATTGACTGCTAGCCTAAACCTTTATTGCTTACATTTATGCCTTTCCTGTAAGGTCAAGAATGGCTTACCTATTTCTGTAATGTTTGATCTGATTCTATGGTACTTGAAGTTTGTATCACAACTGGCTATCGTGCTTAAATATTCCATTTGATAAAATTATATTTGATGTCTTTTTATGTACTATATTTTATATTTGGCTTCTATGAATAAATTCTATTGTTATGAATGGTATTGAAATTAGATGTTTATTCAGATTAAAATTTTAGTCATAGTAGGTATCTAAAGCTCACATGTGCATAGTTGTATTAGAGATTGCAGTGCTTTCAAACCTTGGTTATTCCCAGTTTTTGTTGGTTTGTTTGTTTTTGTTTTGGGTTTTTTTGTTGTTTTTTGTAGTACCAGGGATTGAACTCAGGACCCTGTGCTTCCAGGCAAGTGCTTATTCTACTGAGCCATCTCCTCAGCCCTATTCCCATTTTTAAAGTTGCCAAGGAGGTCTGAGTGTGCATCTGACTGATATGAGTGCTTGCCTAGCATGAGTAGAGCTCTAGGCTATGTATAGCTGATCAAATGCAAAGGCAGCTCTTCCACTTACATTTTCCACATCATTATAAATCAAGAAAAGCCATTATTATTTGACTAACTTACAGTATTTTTTTCTGAAACAGATTATGAGGCAATTGTGAAACTTTCAGATGGCTTTAATGGAGCAGACCTGAGAAATGTTTGCACTGAAGCAGGTAAAGATGTACAGTTTTACTACTGGTTTTGATTTTTGAAGTTTACTAAAACTGTTTCCGGTATGCCTAAAGCCAGAGCCTGGGCCTTTGAAGGATTTTAAGTGCAGTACTTTTGGGGGAATTGATTCTAGGAAACAACAGAGAAAGGGCAAGAGAGGTGAAAGAGGAAATACTAACATATAAGGGTACATACACATTGAGTTAGCACCTGTAGACACAGGGCAGTTTGATAAGATATATATATATATATATATATATATATATATATATATATATTTTTTGTGTGTGTGTGTGTGTGGTACCGGGGATTGAACTTAGGACCCTGCACTTACCAGGCAAGCTCTTATGCTACTGAGCTGTCTCTCAGGACCCCGCATTTTGATTTTTGAGAATGCCTAAAAGAATTGCCTGCCAGAAAGATGGGAGACTAGAACACTTACTTAGTAGAACTCCTCTCTCACTGGATATTTGCTCATGTGTCTTAGTTAATTTCTTGTTACAGTATCAGACCCATAAATTAAAGGAAAAAATGGTTTATTTTAGCTCAGTTTGTAGGGTTTCAGTCTGTAATTAACTGGCTCCAGCACAGAGCAGCATGAGAGAGAAGCTTCAGTTCTTGGCAGGGCAGGCAGGAGGCAGTAAAGCAGGGAACCTGCCTTCTTCCTTTCCCTTCATATTCTGTCCTGGCTACAGTCCTTCTGGATGGTGCCACCCACGCTCAGGGTGTACCGTCCCTCTTCAGTAATTCCATCACCCACAATGATGCTAGACTACACAATGTACTAGTCCAGTTAGCACACATAATCCAGTATTATACCCACAAACTTAATGAGGCTTTGGGGGAACATTTAGATACAAACCATAACGGGTGTTTTAACTCTTTTGCACGTTGGAATCCCTGCTGACAGAATATGAAAAGCAAGCATGTGACAGGACACTGGCCTCCTGAAATATGTCTGAAGGTGTATAGAACTGTGACTGGAATTAGAATGGGCCAGAAATATGTCCTTGAAAACATCTGTTTTCTGCATTCTAGCCTAAACAGTAAGCTTTGAAAGATGACTTATGAATTCTGTGATCATGCATGCAGTTTGTAGAAAATGCAAGTTCTAAATATGCTGTCAGGGGCTGGTGAGATGGCTTAGTGGTCTAAAGCACCTACTTAGAACAAGCTTAGGGAAAGCACAGGGACCGCGGTTCCATCCCCCAGCACCACATGCCAGTCAGCCCTGCCCCCTGGTGGGCTGAGCTGGCCACACACACACACACACACACACACACACACACACACACAAATAAATACATAAATAAATAAAATTAAAGAAAAAACTTGAGATGAACTCATTAAAAAAAAAAAAAAATATGCTCTCAACCAGGCATGGCACTGCAGGCCTATAATCCCAGAACTCAGGAGGCTAAGGCAGAAGGATCAGGCTACAAATTTGAGGGCAGCCTGGGCTACAAAGTAAGTTTAGGGCCTGCCTGAACTGCGTAGAAGACCAGGTCTCAAAAGCAAAAACAAACACACAGAAAATAAAGATAACAAAGACAAAATGTACTCATAAAATGTTTTCACCTGAAAAAAAAGGGGGGCGCGGCCAGGGAGAAAGCTCAGCAGAATAAGTGCTTGCTTAGCATGTGCAAGATCCTGAGTTCAATCTCTGGTACTGCAAAAAAAAAAAAAAAAGAAAAAACCTCAAAGAAATATAATCTTCTCTGGTTGTGTGACACTATTTCTGGTACCAGTAGTTAGTTCTCCATATAGAATCTTAAAATCTAAAAGAGAAATTTCTGTAGTAGTTTTTTTGTTTCTTGGTACCGAGAATTAAACTGAGGACCTTGCACTTGCCAGGCAGGTGCTTAAACTGCTGAGCTATCTCCCCCGCCCTCCACAGTAGTTTTTATAATTACTAACTTGATAGGCTGTATGTTAACTTTTCTTAAGAATTACAGTATGTGATTTCCTCCTGTCTTCCTTGTCGTGCTTAGCTTTATTATAGTAACATTCCTTATAAATCAAGCAGACAGTATTGAAAGATGTTGCTCAGGCATGGCTTGTTAGTAGGAAAGTATTCATGGGTGTAGTGTGACTCAGTGTCTGGATTACAGACCTACAGGTCTAGAAACTCAGTTCAAATCATAACAAATCATGCTTACATCGACTTGTCACTGTGAAAAGTAAATTGTCCTATGACTTGAACTACTTAATTTATGACATACCCTTTCCAAAATCTATGCCAGACCCAAATTATTAAAAATTGCCTTGTAATTGGAATCAAAACAGAAGCAGTTCTATGATCTTAACAGCCAGTGCTATCAAATTTTGATATATGCCTTTTCACATTTGAAAGGTTTTTTTTTTTTTTTTTTTCCCTTATATTTGATACAGGTCTCACTACACAGGTCAGACTCATAATGATCCTCCTGTTTTCAGCCTCCCTAATGCTGGGATTACAGGCATGCGCCGTCATGCTGGGTTTCGGTGGCTGGCTCAGCGTGCCCCAGGGGCAGGGCCAGTGCCATATGTGGTGCCGGTGATTGAACCCTGTCACTGCACTTGCTTAAGCAGGCACTTAGTTCACTGAGCTATCTTGCTGGCCCTGAAAGTTTTTAAAACTTTTTAAACATAAAAATATAAAAATTATACATTTTCATGGGGCACCATGTGATATTTTGATACGTGTATTTGTTGTGTAATGTTTAGCTCAAGCTAAATCTATCTTCTTCAACACTTAAAACAGAATCCTTTTTCTTAGCCTTTTGAAACGTACAGCAGCAGCTGTTGGTGGGTAGCAGCACCCAGAGCCTCTTCCGCCTGGCTGACTGACAGCCCCCACTGGCCACCCTTCCCTTCCTCGTGCTGCGCTGCTGTTGTCCTCATCCTCTGGTAGCTGCACCATATTCACAACTTCTCTGTGATCAGCTTTCTTATATTCCCCGTGTGAGTGAGATGGCCAGTGCTTGTATTTATGTACCTGACTTAATTTCACTTGGTGTAATGATTTCTACTTCAACCTATTATGATGCAAATGATAGGATTTTATGCTTTTTAAGGTCTGAATAACACTTCATTGTGTGTATCACATTTTCTTTTCCATTCGTCAGATGATGGACACTTAGATTCTTTCCATTTCTTGATGATTATGAGTCGTGCTACAATAAACATGGAAGGACTCCTGTCCCTCTTGTCCACATCCTTAAAGAGCATTTACTTTCTTTGATAGTAGCCATTCTTTTGTGTGTGTGTGTGTGGTACCGGGGATTGAACTCGACCCTGCACTTGCCAGGCAGGCGCTTATTCTACTGAGCTGTCTCCCTGGCCCCTATAGTAGCCATTCTAATTGAGGTGAGGTGATATCTAACCAGTTTTGATTTGCATATTTTAAAGAATATCTTACCTTGTTCCCAATTAAGAGCTGTAACATATATGGATGAAAATACTAGTTTTTTAACTGAGAAGGACATTCGTATCTGGAGTTACAGGGAATCTTTATTGTTTTGTTTTTTTCTTTATTTTTTGAGACAGTGTCTAGCTACGTAGTTCAGGCTGGCCTTGAACATACTGTGGAGGAGAATTTGGGGCAGTCTTCCTGCTCTAACCTCCCGAGTGCAGGGATTACAGGCGTGTTCCATCATGTCCAACTTTTTTTGTTTTCTTTTTAACTTTCAGACTTTTTATTACTTTCAGCTAAAATACATTTGATTCAGTTATGGTTGCCTTTTTCATCTAAGTCTTGGCATTATCTTCCTTTTTAGATTCAAATGTGTATCATTTGTATGTCAGTAAACAGTTATTTGAAAAGTCATCAACAAAGTTTATGAAAATAACTTACTTTATTTAGTTGTAGCCTTCTAAACAACTTTTGAAACTTTTTGTTAAAAAATCAGTCATTTCCACTCACCCAATTTCTAGTACAATGTAAAGTGGCTATCTCCAGAGTGTTTATTAAAGAAATCTAAGTGAAAAGTAATCCTTGAAATCTAGTCCAACCCCCCTTACTACATGTAAGTGAAAATTCAATCCAAGATCATCTTTGATGGGAATTTTAGTATGACTCATTTTATTAGCAATCTTACTATTTTCAGTTTATCAGGAAAGTAGGATTGTCTCAAAATCTGTGACTCATATCCATGACATAACTAGTATTAAAAAAGAATCAGACAAAAAACTTTTATACCTTGTCAGATAATATTTGACAAATAATCTGTCCCAAGATTTTGGAAGAAAAAATTGAGTTGTAATACTTGAATTCAAATTGTATAAAATGTTGTGTATAAGTAGTTTTAACAGTTTAGTAATGACTTCTATTTTTTTTCTTTTGTGAAAGTCTTGTTTCTGTAGTTTGTATTCGCTAAGTCTTTGATTTTTAGTAAGGAAGAGATATAACTGGAGATTTGTTTTGATCTGAAAATATACTTCTTCCAGGGAGTTGCTGCCTATGACATTAAGAAACTACCATTTAAAATGAGTTGGGCATGGTGGCGCACACTATAATCCCAATGTTGGGGAGACTGAGACTGGACAATCACCATGAGTTTGAACTTTGTAGTGAGACAAAATTTACCAAATTGGAAAAAAAGTGTCTGTGGCTGAGTGTGATGAAGCATGCCTGTAGTTCTAGCTCTCAGGAAGCTGAGGCAGGAGGACTGCTGTGAGTTCGAGGCCAGCCTGGATCACATAGCAAGACCCTGTCTTTAAAACAAAACAAAACAAAACAAAACCCAGCCAAACAAACAACAACAAAAATGTGGTGGATACTTTGGGGTTCTTTTGGTTTTGATTTTTGTTTTTATTAAGAGGTACTACTGGATACAGGGGATATTGAAGCCAGTTTTTAAATATTTAGATAATTGTCTCACTTGCTTTTGGTTTAGAAAATTATACTTATCATAGCTGTGGAAGTTAATTGAACAAAAGTAGTGGTTTTTAACAAAGCAAAAATACTGGCTCAGAAAAAGCCCTAGGCTCTTTACAATTTACTCCATAGAATTATATTAGTTTTTTTATAATAGGCATATAATTCACATATAATATATAGCAATTACATTATTTTATTCTCCACAGGTATGTTTGCAATTCGTGCTGATCATGATTTTGTAGTTCAGGAAGACTTCATGAAAGCAGTCAGAAAAGTGGCTGATTCTAAGAAGCTAGAGTCGAAATTGGACTATAAACCTGTGTAATTTACCAAAAGGTTTTTAATGGCTGCATGACAGACACTGACTTAATGTACAAATAAAGTT